GGGCTAAACGAGAGCTCATTAACGAACCAGTGTTACACAGCAGTCAGAAAAAACCGCAATAGTCAGGTGTGATGGGAATAGCAAAGCCTCTCCATTACGGTTTGAGAATCTTTGGGTTGATGATTGTGTTGCCCACTGATGATCACTAACTTCCCCATGGCAACCGCAGCTGCTTGTTCTGCAGAGAAACAGAAGTATAAAATAACTGAGCAGCCTTTAACAGGCACTGCTTTTGTCCCACATGAAAAATATCAGATCATGCGCTTTCTCTGTGCCACATTTCCCCTGGACTTGCTACAGGTCAGCCTTCACTTACGCCCTGCTCTCTGCCGCATTCTCCGCTCTCCTGAGAACAGTCCACAGCTACGCTCTCGCAGCTGACACTGGTCCAAGAGGAAAGTTACCAGTTTGCCATCTTCACATTAAGAACTTTGCCAAGAAAACACCAAAACTGAGCCTCAGCCTTCCACCCTGAACAACATCCATGAACAAGGGTACAGAGAGAAGGACCAGCTCCACCTTCCCTCACCACACCCGCTCCTCAGGCGAGCAGGCTTACAGATCGCCCCTCTCCTGCTAAGCATTTTGTCACCAGCAGGGAACAATCAAAACCAGGGCTGCAGAAAGGAGGACAGACGAGTGCTGTGGTACTGCCACAATCCATAGTCCTACCTGTACGCTAGGGCAGGGCCTCAGCATCAGCTGGACTTGGCCTGCCCTGGAGCAGGAGGAGACAGAGACAATCAGCAATGGGAGGTTCTTCTCACCAGCCCAGCATCTCCCAGCAACTGAGGTCAGAGGGAAGGCCTGTGAGCTACCATGTGACACCTTAGACTTAAGGAGGTGACAGAATTCCTTCCCGATGGTCAGGATGAAACCAGAGTCCCAACTTCACCACTAGTGAGAAACGCACACACAACCTGAGAAGCGCACCAAGCAAGGTACCGTGAGAAAAGCTGCTGGTAGTTCCTAGTAGGGAAGGAAGGAGCAGCGTATTTTCCTACGGGGGCAAATGGGGAGCCAATACATTGGTGGCTTCTCATCAAAACCTGAGGTTACAGCCTCATGAACCACAGTTCAGCTGAAGACAAGACACTTCCTCAGGCAGGCTTGGGAATCCACGGGAGCGTGCTGCCACTCAGCTTCCACTGATCCGCCACGGGACAAAGGCTAGCGGTATCAGAGAGCAGCAGGGAATAACGCTCTCCTGTTACCAAAGGGAGGTACCTGGATTGTGATGGTTCCCTTCCCGCTGTCCGTCTGCAGATGGATCTCCATCTCTGGCAAGGCTTTCCCTTCTGCCATCAGGCGATGACGCAGTTTCTCCAGCGCGTCGCTGCCATTGGAGATCAGCTCCCGGATAAATACCTGGGGACGAGACACAACCTGACACTGCAGCCTGGCCTCATCGCTGCACGGGACTCCCAGAGACCTGGGAACTCATTGCCTACTCACAAACTAATTTCCAGCTTGCTAGAAAAAGAACTGCATTTCCCCATTATCTGCTGGGAAAACAGTTTGTCTGAACCCAGTATTGCAGCGCAGAGGCTCTGAGGCTCACAGAGCCACCCAGCCATACTTAAAAATTGTTTTGAAAACACATTTTCAAGCTATCTTAATAAAATGTCATTCAAGAAAGCATGCCACGCAAACAACAGAGGACTTGCTGGGAAACTGAGCGGGCATTCTCCCAGCAAAACCCTTTTTGGATGTACCCTTTGACAGAGACAGGGCTTTGCCAACAGATCTACCAGCAAGCAGTGGGTTCCTTACCTCCTTCTCCGAGTACAAGGAACGGGCAACAATGTCCAGCAGTTTCTTTGTTTCAGCCTGAAACTCATGTTTAGAGGCTGCACCTAGAATAAAATCACAAACACACCTTTAAGGCACTTCCCCGGGGTCCTCTTGGGAGGAAGGCAAAATGGCAGTGTTACCATGTGCTTATAGAATCACAGAATCGTCTAGGTTGGAAAAGACCTTTAAGATCATCAAGTCCAACCGTTACCCTACCCCTGCCATCCCACCCTAAACCCCGTCCCTAAGCACCTCCTCTGCCTGGCTTTTAAATATCCCCAGGGATGGGGATTCGACCCCTTCCCTGGGCAGCCCATTCCAGTGCCTGAGCGTGAAAGCCTGAAGTGGGATGGGACACAGGCAGCTCTGCCCTTCAACCAGGTGACAACAAAGGTGTTTACACACTCGTATGAGGCAGCACGCTTTGCCAAGCAGACACTTGGCCTCTGCACCTCAACTCCTGGCACACAAACCTCAAGGCAGTCAAAGCCTGCAGTACCGCCACATTGGTCACCGCATCTGGGCTGCAGAGCAATCGGTAAACGAGAAGTGAAAGGTGGTTCCCCTTGTTCCTATTGCATGGTTCCACACAATCCCCAACTGCTCTCTCAAGTGCCTCCCGTGGTTTATAGCCTGCCTTCCATACTCTTCCTTGACTCGAATTTCAAGGGAACCACCTGCACGTGTCTTGCTCCAAGACCTTCTACAGCCAGGCAGCATTTCTCATGCCCAAACAATACTTGGAGCCTCAGGCAGATCCTCAAACGTCTCTGTGGAGGAGGCAAGGGAGCGCATAGGTACAGCCACCTATGCAGGTAAGTAGCTGTGCCCAGGAAGAGAATTTTCCTCAGAAAGAAACAACGCTACTGTCAGCTGAAAGACCATCCTTGGCCTTTTAAAAATAGCTTTTCTCCTGCCAGAGGCATTAGAGAACCCTGAAGCAACACAGGGGAAGCCACGGGTCACACATCACCTTTGCCATGCCTTGCTGGTGAGGACCTACATTCCCCAGTGACGGGGACGAAGCTGGGGTGTGGACAGCAGCAGGAGCAGGGCATCAGCCCCACTGGGGGCTTCAAAGCCTGGCAGTCTCCTAAGTACCTGCCAGAAAAGCCACAGGAGCACGGAGTTAAGATGCTATTTCTGTGCTTGGATAACGCACGTGACTTTGCTTTAAAGCACCTCTCCCTGGAGACGCGCAAAGCAATTCATTCTAACTAAATGGTTGACACCAGTCATTAGACCTCCGTGATCCACAGCAATGACCTGGGCAAGCACAGCTTGCTTCTGGGACAAAAAGTCTCTTTTTAGGCAAATTCTAGCGCCTGCAGAGTCTCTACACATATGCACGACCATCAGTTGCCTGGCTGAGCCCACAGATGCAACATCTTCCCGCAGTCTTGATGGCCTCGTTTCTCAATAAAAGCCATTCTGACTTCAGGCATTCCAGTTTTGGGAAGGTGACAGCACAATAGATTCAAACTGTACTCTGCCAGCTAGGATGCGATGACCAACACCTGCACCTCCTCCAGAGGCAGGAACACTTCTGCTGAGGGCTCACCCTCCTAGGCAGGGCATAGCTGCACCCAGACGTTGTCCTGGGTCTGCCTGCACCCCAAGAGTGCCCCCACAAGACACCTATGTCTGTGCCCACCTTTCACATTCTCTGTGTCGCTGATGATGGTGTGCAGGGGCTCTTCTTCCTTGTCCTCCGCTGCCTGCGTGCTGTACGTCCGGACAGCAGAAAAGCTGGTGGCAGGAACGTTGTACTGGAGGCTCCAACGACAGAGCATTTGTTTTTGGAGACATGCTGCTCCTTTTGCTGGAAGACACAATGCAAGATATTTCAGTATAAATCACAAGTATCATCAGCAGCAGGAGCACTTTTTAAAGATCCCATGTAAGCAATCCCGTGGGGAGTTACACCATCCACGCAAGACTGAGGTTCCCTCGCAATCCAACAGCCACCATTTCCCTCCGGCACTGCCTTCGCTGCCTAAGAAGGGCAAGTCACTACTTTAGCCTGTCTCTTCTGAATTAAAATTCTAGCCAAAAGATGACAGCAGCTTTCACAACGAATTAACCGGTGAGGAAGAGGCAGTCTGCAGCTTTCATTGCTGTTACCTGTCCAAGCTGAAGGCAACAGGGAACGCTTCAACTCCCACGTTTCTGCCAGTGGAAACATAAAGCCCCGGCGCAAGCAAGGCAGCCTGCAACTCCAGGAGATGCCTCTGCTGCAACGCACGGCTTCTCTGGATGCTGTACTAACACTTACCATCGGGCAGGCCTCTAGGCACCAAAATCTATTTCTTTCTGCTCACTTCCACCCTGCTGACAGTAACCAGCTCCTTCAGAACACGCTCACTCCCATATCCAAGAACGGCTCCAGCCAGCCCTGTCTGGCCCCTATTAGCCAGCCGAGCAGTTACTTTATGGCCATAAATATTTGGCTCTTGACTGTATGAGCACAGTTGAGAGAGCATAGGGACGACACCCTCTGACAAAGCCAGCTCTGGGCCAAGCAGCACGTGCAGCAACAAAGCCACCAGGCAACAAAGCAATCAGCAGGGAAAATGAGAGACAAGTCAGGAAACGGCATGAGGCCTGTTAAGGAGTCGGATCCCCGGTTCTCCTCCTTCCATTGCACCCAGGTGAACCCAACAGTCTTCTCTCTGTTGGGGGATGAAACACAGCCAAACCTGGCCACAAAAAGACCATTTACAGCACTACAGAGCTCTGCCCAAAGCCTGGTGTGATTTCTGACTTGTAGAGAGAACGGCCTGTGCCAGAGTAAGAGCCTGGAAGGTGTGGATACGGTTGGACATGATGATCTTAAAGGTCTTTTCCAACCGAAATGATTCTATGATCTGAACATGCAGCTGCACTGGGGGCAGGCAGTGACTTGGCCTTCCCCAACCCTAAACAGACGGGGCTGTTTTGGGAGGCAGAAGAGCGACCAGAACAGCCTGGACAGAGCGGGGAGAACCTGGATAAGCAACAGACGTGGTTGGAAGCAGTGACAAGCCCAGGCTTTTCTTACAACTCCATGTTCCCAAGCTGTTTCGTCAAGCAAGGGAAGGAGACAAACCCTACACCCCAGGCCTGTGAGAGGCACATTTTCAAGGTGCCCCTTCTTTAGATGAATAGGTACAAAACCACAAAAAAGAGAGTGAACGGAGAACCACTGGCATGGTGAGAGTCCCCACAGCAAACCTGTGACCTCCCTAGAAACAGCTTCTTTGGCCGTCCACAGCTCTCCAGTCCAGCCGGGACGCTGGGAGAGCTCAGCTCCCCCCTGAACCTTCCTCCACCGTGTCACAGCCCTTGAGCAAACGCGGCATCCCAGTCCTTTCACCAACATCCCTCATCGTCCTCCAGCTCATCTGGGGAGGTCTCAGGCTCTCTTCACAAGCGCTCTGCAAGCCTCCTGCCCACCTTAGCAGGCACTACAGCCAGCGTGCTCATCGAGAACAGGTTTGGCTGCTCCAGACCATCAGGCTGGGCTCTCACTCACTCCAGAGGATGTGAATGCAAACCCCTGAGCCTCAACAGTGCTTCTGGGTCCTGCACCCCATCCCCAAGAGCCGCTCGAGGAGGCCGTCAGTCCTCATTCTTCTTCCTCACAGAAAGCTTTGAATCAAAATGCACTTCTCCAGCCAGAAGCTTGAATTACTCCCCAGTCATTCTGCCCTTAAAGAAAAGAGCCCACAAATAGTTCTTAATGCATCTGAACACCTCCTACACACAGAACTGTTCGCTCTCTGCGTCACAAACAGTTCTGCCGCATATTGCAGGACACGTTCTTTATCTTTCACTCGGCTGCCTTTGCTGGGCTCATCTGAGAAAGCAACAAGGAAAACAGCCCGGGTGACCGAGGCGGAAAGCAGTGGAGAACTCACCGTGTGGCTGTCCAGCCCGTCGAGCTTCAGAGAGGAAAGGCCTGAATCAGCTCAGGGTTTACATATTTTATTTACATATTTACACAGGGTTAACATATTTTATGACCGTTTTAAGGTAGATGGTGTAGGATACTCTGAAAAATCTGCACTTGTACTCTGTACTTGTACTCTGAAAAATCTGCACTGTACTGCACTTGCATGCGCACACTCATTTCCCAACCAGCAGAAATACAAGAGGGAAAGTTGCTTCCTCCCTGACTCCAGGATCCAAAAGAGAAGCAGATCAGCAGCAGCTCCGTGCTAACCTTAAGGCCGCTTCTGTCATCAGATCTCCAGGCAGCACAGCCCCAGAGCCCACAAACAGGTCACACCCCAGCCCAAAAATGCTCGCTGACTCTAGAAACTACAGCTAGTTATAATTTTTGATATATTCAGGTTGTCTCCCTGCCTCTAAAGCACAGTAATAAATCACCACCCGTCAAGTCAGAAGTTATTTTTGCATTTGTGTAATGTTTGGTCTTATCATCCTTAATTAACAGCCTGTCCTGTGCCAGGTAGAGACAAGGCTCGTTAACTGCAAGCGGCAGCATCTTCAGACCATTTGTCTCTTGCAGAGCCCTTGCCTGGCCAGCAGGGGAAAGGCTCCAGGCAATTCTGGATATAAACCCACAATTATCAGCACAGGGAAGCTGTTGAGAAAGTATCCGCTGAGTTAACAGGGTTGAAGTGATGCTCAGAACGAGCCCGAGAAATAAATTCCTAAGACCAAGAGACAAAGAAGGAACGAATGGCTCTTGCCCCGGTTGAGCGCTGCGATGTGCTGGGGCAAATCGGGTCTTTTTATATCGAGTTAATCAAATGCTGAGCTCTATCACAGTCCACATACCTTCCTATTTACATCACTGCCCCACCTGCGCCGTAAAAGATGGCAGATACCCACATCCCTCTCCAGCTTCCAGTTTTCTGTGAGTCTTGAGTGATCCTGTGCGTACAACCACAGAGCAGCCGTGCACACGGGGAACACGCCATGGAAAAGAGAAGGACCCTTGGCCTCAGGGGCTCCTTTCAGTCCAGGCACCAGGATGCCTCAGTGATTCCCGAGCCCAGCCAGCCTCCCAGGAAACACGGGAGGGAAAAGGACCGCTGTGAGCATTTAAGCCAAGCCAAACGTCAAGTTAGAAATTTAGGGTGGGAAATCGAGCACAAAGCACTACACAGCTCAAAACAAAGGGGAGAATTTAGGTCAGCAGAAATTACCATAATAGCTTGATCGCTGTGCAGACACAAGCCCAAGGATGCTCTTGCAAAGAAAAGCACGAGCAGTAAGATGCTTCCAGCTCAGATCTCATTAGGAGAAAGGGCTCTCTCTACCTGGGCACCAAATCCTGTCCAAATCTAGGGGGAAGAGGGTCCCCGACGGATCCGCTCGCACCAACGCATCTCCCAGAATCAAACTGTGGATCAGCTCTAGCCTTCAGCATTGCGAGAGCCGAGAGAAAACACCGCCAGCTTTGCACCTCTGAAGGGAAGAGACGTCTGGGCCTGCAGCCAGGGATCTCCGCCTGCATCCAAGCGCAAGGACACCACGCTCCGGCTCCTCCCTCTTCACTGCCACCCCACACAGCTTCTGCTCACTATTTTTTCCCCCCTAAAAGGACCAGAATGACAGGTTAAGGAATAAAACCCCAGCTCTGCTGGAGTACGTCTAACCCACCAGAGGCAGAGGGCTTCTTTCTCAGACACAGATGCTAACAAGCCACTGGGGATTTCCGCGGTGGAAGAACTGAATTGCCCAGAAACACCCAAGTGGCACTCAATGGCACAATAAATGTAACAATCTGACCCCGATAGCGACCCTATTTGTCACACGATTTCCTCTGTCACGTTTTCTCTGCGTAACCCACAGGGAAACCACAGACCACACTGACAACTTACAAACCTGTTGATTAGGAGGCAGACGGCAGATAAGGAAACACCGAGCACAGCACGGGCCGCTCGCAGCCGGGAGAGAGGAGACACAGAGGATGCTTCTCACCGTGCCTGGGCTAACGACAGCTCACAAGCACGTTTCCAGACCTGCACACCACAGCCTCGATAAGACAACACGTCCCGTAGCCAAGACCTCAGAGCCTGGATTTTCTCAGCCCTCAGTCTTGCCAGGAGCCTTAGGTGACACCCGGAGCGTGCCCCGGGGGAACACAAACAGCTCAGGCTCACCTGTCGGGTCACCTAGTGCCGAGACGGGCAGAGCACAGGAATGCTGCCGCCTCCTGCTCCTTTCCAGCACCCAACTGACCTGCACACACCCTATATGAGCCAGCAGAGGACCCTGGGCATGCTACATCCCCTATGTGAGCCAGCAGATGACCCTGGGCATGCTACATCCCCTACATGAGCCAGGAGATCAACCTGAGCATGCTACATCCCCTATATGAGCCAGC